GTTTTTTCTGTGTTAGTGGAGACCACTGTCCTCGCTGGGTGACAAGGATGGTCTCTGGACCTAAAGACCCTCTTTTATTGATAGATCTTCCCTTAAAGGATCCAGGACCCTAGTTTATGCCGTATCTTTGGTGCCTTCTCGCTCTATTTACTTGATTTTCAATGAAGGCAATATTTTCTTTTCCAAGTCTAGAGGTCAGATTTATAACGGTTTTACAAAGTGAGTAATTTTAGCATCCCAATACTAGTATTAATTCACCTGAAAACTATTACTTTACCTGCCACACACTCCTTAACCCCTTACACCCAGTATTCTGCCCTTTCCCATCCACTGAAATTGCTGTCAAAGTCCCCAAAGTGCTGACCGATCCAATTTACAGTTTTCTGTCCTTACCTTACTTGACATTGCTCTGGCATTTGGTAACTGTTGACTGTTCTTTGTAACTCCTTTCTGTTGACTTTAGTGATGCATTAATTCATTCAACATCTAGCTAATATTTATTGAGCACCTACTAAATGTCACACAGAATGCTAGGCATTGATCATATAATGTTGAGCAAGACATGCATTTCCCACCCCCCACCCAGATGTCTTTCTCTTTTGAAATACTGTGCTTATTTCAAAGATGTAGTATTAGACATGCTTCACCCTGAAACCTACCTTTGCTACCTACCGTTGTGTGAGCTTGGGCAAATTTCTTAACATTTTTCACTTGTAAAATGAGGACAATTAAAAATACCTACCTGATAAGAATTTTTTTAAGTGTAAAGTGATCTATGAAAATGTTCAGCACATTGCTTAACACTCTTCTCACTGGGACTTCTCTAATTCAGGCCATATAATCTTTTAAAGACATTATAGCGTCTCTCTGGCTGGTGTCTTTGACTCTGGTCTTGGCACCCTCAAGTCCAGCCTCTACATTGCTCATCAATTACCAACTCATGCCCTCACTCCTGTTCCCCAGATGTATCCACTTACTTTTTGCCCTTCCCTGATCACGCCATTCCATTTCTCTGGCTCATCTGTATTCCATTAGTGTCCATTCATTAATGTGATTGTTCCTTCATTGTTGGGTTTTCGAACACCCACTTTTTCTTCAAGTCTCCGTTCAGACATTATCTCCCTGAGGAGAGAGTCAGACATTCTTTTCTGCATACCTTCATAGGTATTCCCATGTGCCTCTGTTACAACCCAAATCCCACTGTGATTTAATTATCTGTAGAGTCTCGTATCAGAAAAGAATGTGTCTAGTTGTTCTTAAATGTGGCACAAGTGTAGCTTTAAAAGCTTTATTGTATTTATCAAACAAATACTTAGAGGAAAGCTTAGTTTCTGTGAATGAAATCTTAGTGTCTATGTTGCCAGGCATTATGCTATTGATGGGTATGCAGACATAAAGGGGATAATGTCCTTGTCCTTAAGAAGTGCACAATGTGAAGTCAGATGGAGAGCAGATGAGGGACAAAAGATTCTTATCATCGATGAATAGATTATTTTCAGCTAAAGGACTTCACGTTTAGGCTATTCATTTTTCTCAAGAGGTGAATTGACAGTAATTTAAAATTCTAACTTCTAACTTACTTGTTAATGAAAGCAGATTTTTTTAAGTTTTGCCCCTAGAGGAATGTATTCTTATAGACCCAAATGTCAAGCTGTCATAGCGTTTTCTGTTATGAGAAGATGAGCATTGTCTATATGTTTTAAGTGATTTACTCTAAGTAGGGGGTTTGCATCAGTCGTAGGTACAGGCTTGGAAGTCAGAACTGTACCAGTTGTCTGAGCTGAAATACTTTCTCTGTGCTTCCTAAATTTTGAGATAAGGTTTAAAGTGTAAGTCTTGGCTATTGATTTATAGCATATTTGCAAGAGTTACATGATCTTTCACTAGTTTTCCATGTTTCCAACTGGAAGAAGTTTTTTCTTCTTTTATGATCTTGTACATTTTCATAATTGTGAGAACAAAAATCTTTATTAGTTAATCAAGGATTGTGGTTTTATAGAATTGCCATGTATAGGATTTGAGTGTAATATTCAAAACATTTTAGCTTTTCTTTATTGATACAATTTGCTCTAGCAGCCTCGTAGGTCTTGGTGTCATCATTGCAGAATTAACAACCCTGTACCAAAGTGCTTTGTAAGACAGTGGGGATTTCTAGCTGATGGGATGCTGTACTCACAGAGTAGTTTTTAGCTTGTGCCTCTGGTGAATTTACTTGTTATTTTCTGGATGATTTGGGGGGATTTTGGCGCTGGAAATAGAGCATAAGCTTACCGTATTATGTTTATATCTATGTTCTTTAATAACTGAGGACATTTTCAGTGTTATGAAAAAAGCAAGTTAGAAGAAATTCGCTTTTCCTTTTCTGTGCATAAAGACCCTGAATCCTTTTAAAATCGGACTCTTCAAAGGATAGAAGCCATCCGTGATTTTTAATGGCACATGGGATTCTGTAGTTTAGCAAGTATAGTCAGCTTATAGGAATTTTATTTATTTGGAATTTAGTTTTAATTAGACTTTTGTGAAGAAAAAACTTAATAGCAACCAAGAACATTGTTTTTGAAGGGATATCCATTTAATTTGTATTAGGACTTTTTAGTTATGTAGTGATGATGATACAGGGATTTGGCATAGGAAGGTATTTTTGTGAAGGAATTTTCAGACAGATAGTCATCAAACCAAGAGAGTAAGGTTTTAGAAGCCAGAGAGAAGGGAGATTTAGGAGGATGAGATGATCAGTAGAGTCAAATTAAAAGAAAAACAGCGAACAAGGTTAACTGAGGTAGGGATCGAGCAGTATGTATTGCCTGAAGCATTTTCAAAAGTAGTTTCAACAGAGCAGTGGGAACAGAAGCCAAATTGCAGTGAGTGTCCTCACCTTGCTTTTTTCCTTCCACACTGGAGAACTGGACAGATGAACGCTATTATTCTCCGTTTGGGCTGACATTACTGTTAGTGAATGCAGCACATGCTGAAGGGCAGTCTTGTACCATGACCATGTAAGATGCACAGTCATGTTTTTAATCTCGATAGGTGACTGTCTCAGCTTGACTTGCATGTCGGATCTATGAAACCAAAATTAATGTGAAATTCTTCTTAATAAAAGGACTCTTTCTCACTTAGATTTTCTACCGCTTTTTGTTTCATTGCTTTTTTTTTTTTTTTAAAGATTTTATTATTTGACAGAGAGAGACAGTGAGAGAGGGAACACAAGATGGGGGAGTGGGAGAGGGAGAAGCAGGCTTCCCGCGGAGCAGGGAGCCCAATGCGGGGCTCAATCCCAGGACCCTGGGATCCGAAGGCAGACGCTTAACGACTGAGCCACCCAGGCGCCCCTTGTTTCATTGCTTTTAAGAACTTTTTTTGTCAAACTGATTTCTTCACTTGGCTATCACAATGTTTATACTCTGTAGTACTGCCTCAAAAAATATATGATGCGTTTTGACTGTGTTTTTCAAATGGTATTGTTGACTGTTCTATTCCTGCATTTCTGCATGGGGAGAACCCTTAGGGAATGATAAAGGTAGGAACAGCAAACCGAGCTGTAGACAACCCAGACTGCTCTGTATTGAACAGGACACTAGCAAGGTGACCTCTGTCTTTTCCCAATCCTGCCTTACCTTCAGGACCTCCCTGTAAGCTGCAGGAGACGAGGCAAGAAAATATGAATACACAAACTTACATGTATTGATTCCAGCCAAAGTCAAAGGAGAAACAGAATGACTCCATATGGAAGATTCCTTTAGCACATACACTCAACTCTCATATATGCATTGTACTCTTCCTCTTTGGACCATAAATTCCCTCCATATTTTTCCTCAGATCATCCTTAAGGGTGGATCTAACTAGATCACGTGTGACTGGTTCTAATTTCTACATCATGCATTGTGTGTATGTATGTATGTATGTATTTTTTGTTATAATTCCATTGCTGTAACATAGAATTCCTTTGGCCATGGCATATGGAAGTATGAACTGAGAATACAAAGGCTTTTAACTCTTTCTAGTGAGATTCCTACTCCACTCTTGGCTACTCTCATTTTTGCGGGTGAAAGAATGCAAATCAGCCCACAGTTCTGCCACTTTTAGTTCCCTGTTTGGTCTCTCTCTCACTGGGGTCTAACTTAATTATTTCTGTTGACACTAGATAAACTGATGTCTTTCCCCACTCAGGTACCATAAATTCCCTCTCTGGGTGATATTTCCCACTTAACAAATGAATTTTGAAAAGATAGTAATAGTGGATGGAGGCAATAGAGACACAACATTATAGTTGCTTCTGAAAAGTTACTCTAACGAAGAGGGAGATCATTAAGATGATCTTATTTCTGCTGATTATAGCAAATGCAGTAGGGTATTGAAAAGAAGAGTGAGCAGCTAGATTAGCAACATTTGGAAAGTTTATGCTATAGGGGCTCAGGGGAGGGAGGCGTGAATAGGCAGAGCACAGAGGATTTCTAAAGCAGCAAAGCTACTTTGTATGATGCTACAAGGGTGGACACATATCATTACACAGTTGTCCAAACCCAAGAGTGCAACCACCAAGAGTGAGCCCTAATGTAAACTATGGACTCTGGGAGATGATACTGTGTTATTGTAGGTCCATTGGTGGTAACACATGTATCAGAGTAGCCCAGGACTAATAGTGGGGTGAGGGGGAAGTTGTGTGTTTGTGGGGAGAGGGTTCTATGGAAAATATCCATACTTATTGTTTAATTTTGCTGTGAATCTAAAACTGCTCTAAAAAAATAAGACTATTTAAAAACAAACAAAAATACTAAAACAAGTTTATGCTTATTAACATCTTAGAAGCCTCCAGAAGATGAATTGAAATTTACTTTCTCTAATTCAAAATGAATTCATCTCTTTGGGAATTTGTGGGCCCAAGGGAATACTTCTGTTGCCTCACTCACTAGTTATCCCCTTTGATAAGCATTAAAAAAAGCTATAAATTCGATTATTTCATTATACTTCTCTAACATTTCCTACCCGTTTACCTCCAGGTTTGAAGTTTGAGGAAATCCAAGAAAGATTTGGCGAGGAGTTCTTTAATATATGCTTTGATGAGAATGAGAGAGTCCTTCGAGCTGTGGGCGGCACATTGCAGGATTTTTTTAATGGCTTTGATGCTTTGTTGGAACACATTAGAACTTCTTTCGGAAAACAGGCCACTCTGGAGTCGCCATCATTCCTATGCAAAGAGCTCCCTGAAGGCACTCTGATGCTCCACTATTTCCACCCTCACCATACTGTGGGGTTCGCAATGCTCGGGATGATTAAGGCCGCAGCCAAGAAGATCTACCGGCTGGACGTGGCGGTGGAGCAAGTTGCCAGTGAGAAGCTGGGCTCTGAGGCTTCGAACCCGGGCAACTGTGGCTGTCTTACCTTCCTTATCAAAGAATGTGAAAACACCACCATCACGAAGAACCTTCCCCAGGGCACCTCCCAAGTTCCTGCGGACCTCAGAATCAGCATCAGCACCTTCTGCAGAGCCTTCCCTTTCCACCTGATGTTCGACCCCCACATGTCCGTCCTTCAGCTAGGGGAAGGCCTGCGGAAGCAGCTTCGATGTGATGCTCACAAAGTGCTCAAGTTCCAGGACTGCTTCGAGATCGTGTCTCCAAGGGTTCATGCCGCCTTCGAGAGGGTCCTGCTGCGCCTGTCCACCCCATTCGTGATCAGGACCAAGCCCGAGGCTTCTGGCACTGAAAACAAAGACAAGGTAAGTGGCCACAGGCTGGAGCTGGGTGGTGGGAACTGGAAGAGTGCATAATTATTTCAGTAAATTACATGCTGGCTGGCTGTCCTTGTAATTATTTAGGCAAGAGAGCTTAAAGTGTCATTTTGGAAATCACTGGTGCCTGGATGTATGTAAAAAGATTTGGCCTTCTTCCCAGCCATTTTGCATAGTGTCTGCCTCTTCCATTAATTTATTTCAGCATATAAAAAGAAGATACTTATTAATACCAGCCATAGTAATTACAGAAATGATAGGACTCCCTTAAAGCCTGATACTGTAAACCCATGACTATTTCTACGGATTGAAGTCACACTACAAGACAAATGGTAAGACGGAATCCCACATCGTGGGGCCTGCTTGCCTTCTAAAATAAATAGGGGTGAAAAGCAAGCTCCACTTTGAATGTGCTCTGCTCTAAATTTCATAATTGAGGAACATCTGGTTTATATCCTATTTTTGTCTCAGTTTGCAGAAGAATGGATTTTCTAAAAGTTGTAAAATTAAGGGACGATCTCAAGACTTCTAAATAGATTTTAGTATTAAAACAGACTCCTTCCTTCAGAACATGCTCACTGCTTGGAGAACACGGTGAACACTAGGAATTATTGTGAATTTCTTTGAATTCCCTTTTTGGAAAGTCTGGGTTATAAATTATAAAGAAACAAAAAGCTAAAAGCTAAATCTTGAATTCGTTTACACAAGTATGTTCCCTCAGGTAAATTTTTTTTTTTTTTTTTAGGAGAAGTCAACATTAGAATAATAAAATGTAAAGAAAGTTAGTCATTACTATTTTAAATAGGATAATAAATAATATAAATAATACTGTTCCAGAGTAGACATTTACATATATGCGTGTTCAGCTTCTAGTAGAGCTATTCAGTATTTTGTATCGAGGACAATAAAGTTCTTTTAGGTGATTCAGCTTGTTCCCAAGCATTTTGGGGAAAGCTGTTGGCTTTTAGAAATGAACAGGCTTGGGGCACCTGGGTGGCTCAGTTGTTAAGCTTCTGCCTTTGGCTCAGGTCATGATGCCAGGGTCCGGGGATTGAGCCCTGCATCAGGCTCCCTGCTCCACGGGAAGTCTGCTTCTCCCTCTCCCACCTCCCCCCTGCTTGTGTTCCCTCTCTCGCTGTGTCTCCCTCAGTCAAGTAAATAAATAAAATCTTAAAAAAAAAAAAAGAAATGAACAGTCTGCTCTGGGCTAAAGGAAGAATTGTAGAGACGATTAAAAACTCAGTGAATGAATAATCACATATTCTGGAGCACCTGCCATCATAAGTAAACAAGGGAATAGCCTCCTGGAAGCAGAGCCAAAGACATTTTTGAGGATTTTATATAGCATTCATGTTAGAACTGATTTTTATCATTTTGAAATTCAGTGGAAAAATTTTTAACAAAATGCTTGAGAACTAGGGAATGATGCCCATTTATTCAGGATGTCTGGGTCCTGTGACTTACCATTTTTCATCATTTACGTTCAGTGATTTCAAAACATCTACGGACAAACCTGAAATTCCAGCTAGGCACATTTGGATATTTTAGTCTGAATGAATTGTTATTTTTCTATGCGATTACACGTTTTAAATAATACTTTTCACATGTGCGTATTTTATATATATATTTATATGTTCAGTGATTGCTGCCCATTTTTGAAGCTGTTTAGAAAAAGAGGAAATCTGTTAAATGTGTGTTTTTTCCCATAGTTGTAGTTGATTTAAAAGGGGAATTATTCTATCTTTATAACTTAGAGAATATTAAAGCTGTCGGTTCTGTTTTGCAGAAGTGAAGTGTTTGGCTAGAAGGGTTTGAGCAGGTTTGGCCTCTGAAATTGGAGTGAATATTTTTGAAAATGTGCCTGAGGTGGAATATATTATTATCCATGTTAATTGCTCTCTATATTTGTAGATTTGAGAAAAATTAATTCATTTTAAAGTGATTGCTTCAGATTTTCCCCCCTATATTTCATCTGGCTTGTATTTCTATTTAACTTGTATACCAGGGTAAGGAATAGGCATAATGAAATGATGACTCAAATGTCAAGGCCCCCTGCCAATTCCAATAATAAGGCACTGTTCTCATTGAGAAGATACAGTTATAACTTAAATACGGCAGTGACAGCTTAAAAAGAATAGGCAGGATATTTAGTTAGAATAAGGATAGCAATCCTCTCATCCTTATGTTTCTGTTTTGTTTATTCACCTGGGTTTGCCATATGGGACATTTGGGAAGCCATTCTTGGCCCAAATTGGAATGGTAGTCAATAAAGTTAGGGCATGGAGTCTTAACCAGATGAGTAACATTTTTGAATTACTATGTTTCCAAATCCCTTTTTTGAAGACATGGAAGGAGGAAAGAGAATCAAGTTTAAAAATTACAGGTCTGTTGATAAATTTGATCTTGATATTCATTATTTTCCCCATAAGGGCTCTTCTTGTTAATAAATAACTCCATGTTGTCTGAAGTTTCTAATTGTTTACTGGGCCTTGGTAAGAAAGGGCAATTTTAAAAATAATTTAGGATATTCCTTTGTCTAACAATGGAGGCTTTCATGATAATTTAACTATTTTGGCTATGCCCTTAATACCAATGAACCACCACTCCCGCGGTCCAGAAAAAAAAAAAATGCAAAAAATGAAAAACAAGAGCTAATCATGCAGCTGAGTGACAATAAATCATTTGCAGAATGAACTGTAATGTTTTTGCTAAACCATGATCTTTTCCATTTTTGCTGTCAATCGTTGGTTTACTATAGACAGGAGGTAGGACACGCTTGTGAGCAATTTGGTGATAGGCAAATGAAACAGAAAGCCAGGATCCTGGTTGTAGAGAATTTGCATCTTGATTGTGCAGTGATGAGTTACAAAGACAGAATGGTTGGTTACCAGAAGGGAGAATGTCACTGAGAGATATCTGATGCAGTCATCACTGGCAGGTTACAACTCAACAGAGTTCTGAAGTCAGAAGGGACTCTTCCAGATGGACCGACCAAGCTTTGAGTCCCATTATTTGGCTCTTGTGCATCTTCTAAGCGATCACCCAGGTCTTTTTTTTTTTTTTAAAGATTTTATTTATTTATTTGACAGAGAGAGACACAGCGAGAGAGGGAACACAAGCAGTGGGAGTGGGAGAGGGAGAA